TGTAACTTACAAATTTACCAAGAAAAGCCAAGTAGACAACAAAGAAGTACTTATTAAGACATTTTCTCCTTTTATGTGTCCCTACTCATGGTCTTATCATAAATCTCAGCCCTGGTGGTTAATCCAAAGCTATTTAATTAAATTATGATATTATTTATAAATAAATAGATACCTCCTCCCCCCCAAAAAAAAGAAAAAGAAAGAAAGAGAATGATTTACATAAGGATGTGTGTCGTCTCTAGGGACCAGGATTAGAAATTATTCCCTGAATTAGGATATAGACCTTTTTTTTTTTCCCCACTAAAAGGACCATTTTTAAAAAATTACTTATGATCTCACTGTTTTTTATTTAATGCATATACTGAAACCCCACCCTTGAATTTGGTACATTCGAAGATTTGCTTGTAATAAAAGTGGAATTTCCATTTGTCACCAAACAAAACATAGAGACTGTACTTACAGGATGAATCGGTGTCGATGTCATTTTGTTCATCACTTTCTTCTTGGACTGAAACAATGCTTCGCCACAGTGGGCCCTGTGGTTGAATTCCATACCTGTGAGATAAGTTTCTAGAGACTTTTGGCTTGAAACTCACATGCTTAGCCAAGTCTTTTCTCGCGAACCATCCTTTCCGGTGTTCCCTCCTGGAGGCCAGAAGCACATGATGGCAGAAAACGTCCACCCCATGAGCGGTCCTCCCAAGCTGCAGAAAGGGGCAGTTCGACAAATTGGAGCGGGTTCCTGTGAGGCTGGATATCTTGCACCCATCAGTCACCCAGCTCTTAGCTGCGTGCCAGGAACACCTCAAGGCTCGTGGGTCTTAACCAGACCAGTTTCCCTGTACCCCTCCCTCCACCAGTTTTTCTTCTACTTTGCTCTGTCCTTCTCCTTTCGTCTCTAGTCACACATTCTTTCATTAATTCACTCATTTAACAAATACAGCCAGGTGTGGCATAGCGATACTTTGGACAGTGATGGGCCTCATGTACAGCGGTGGGCCTGGAAGCACTAGTGGACTATATCGTGTGGCCTAGGTGTGTCGTAGGCTCTCCCATCTTTTCGGTTGTCAGAAAAGTCATGATACTTTTGCATAGAAAAAAATACGTGATTTTCCCGACAACCCAATAGGTTTGTGTAAGTGTGCCCTGTGATGTTCACACAACGGCACAATTGCCTGCCCGCACATCTCAGATGTGTCCCTGTTGTTAAATGACACAGACAGTCTTTGAACTTTCAACTGGTTCTTCACATATTTTTAGGTCTGGTTAATCCTGACCACGCATTTCCCCAAATCTTGGTGTTTCTCAACTCATGTCCCCCCATCCTCTGAATCTTACTTGGTCAGAGTGAGGTTGTTTGTCATCCCTTAACAAATCTACCAGCCCCTAGTCTCACCCTTCTACCGCGCTCCCGAACGATCTTTCTCCTGCGCAAGTTGTTCATGTCACTGCCCTACTCACAAGCCTTTATTATGGGTAGGTTAAATCCAGAACTCCTTAGTTGGAGTTGAGGACCTGACACCACTGAGCACTAATGCCTTTCTAGCATCATCTCTCTCTCTCTTTTTTTTTTTTTTAGAGAGAGAGATTTTTGCCATAGGGCATGTTCCCTCATCAGAGAGACAGAAAGACACAGAAAGAGAGAAATCACCCTCCAGGAGGGATGTCCACATTGCAGTCCCTTCTCCTTCAATCTCTTCTTGGGATTTTAGACACACATGCGTTCGTGTCTGGTGTGAATATTAAGCCATGTGGTCCAGGACTTAAACCACAATCGACTCTGTGGGAGTCCAGCCGTGTAACTAACCATTACGCCACTCACTGGTTCTTTTTATTTCTTTTTTTTTAAAAAAAGAGAGAGAGAGAGAGACTTTTGCTATAGGGTGCGTGCGCTTGTTGGAGAGACAGAGAGAGACAGAAAGTGAGAAATCAGCCCGTAGGGGCATGGCCATGCCACAGTGCCTTCTCTTCCATTTTCCTCACGGGATTCTGGGCATGCACGTACATATGTACACACGTCTGGTGTGAGTTTCAAGCCTCCAGGTCTGAGACTCAGACCACCCTCGGACATGTGGGAGTCCAGCGATGTAACCATTACATCTCCTGGTCCCTCTAGCATCATCTCTTGAACTCTCACCTTTGCACTCTACTCTAGACCACGTTGATCTGTTCCAGAGGTCCCCAACACACCACCTTGCATCACACCTGTGAACCTTTGGGATGCCCTTCATTTCTCTACATGATGAGGTTGTGCTGAAATGAAAGCTGTACACACTGTCCCTTCAGATGGCACCTCCATGAAGAGCCTTCCCTCCACTGTGCAGTCACCCTGTGACCGTCCAGGTCTATGACAGTGTTCTTTCTGTTTCTCACTCCAGTCTGTGCCTTTAGGTTCCAGTCCCAGTTTTCTAAGTCTGTCCTCATATCCAGTGATTTGTCTCAAGGACGGCATGAATCAGACTCACATTTGTTAGTCCACATGGCTCCAGCCTCACCGTCTCCCATAGCTTCCCACAGCTCCCCTCCCCCTCCAACAGCTTCCAAGACCTTATGTTCTATAGTCCTAAGAAACTTGCTATTCCTCAAATGCACTGGGCTTTACCTGCCTCTTGCTCTGTCTCAGATACCTTCCGCCACCGAATCCTGGTCTGCCTCATCAAATTTAGTTCATGGGAGCCAGCAGGTGACATGGTGATTAAGTCGTTGGACTTCCACGTGGCCAACTGCAGTTTGAGTCCAGACCTGGTGGCTTACTTTCTCTCTCTTTCTCTCTCTCTCTCTTCTCTCTGTGGTGAGTACGTGGACCCTGTAGCAAATTAAAATAATAATAATGACAATGATAAATACAAGTGAAATGATTCTTAAAAAAAAAACAAAAAACTAGTTCATTCTTCAAAAAGCAGCTCAGACGTCGCTGTTGCTTTCCTCTTGACTTGGTCTGACTTGCAACAAGATTAAATAATAAAAATAGCGAGTACTTAGATGGCACTATGTGGAAGCCCCAGACAGTGTTCTAAGCATTCTACCCGTATGAGCGGATTCCCTTTGTATGCCAATGTTGTGCTTTTACTATCCTGTCTCTTACTAGTTTATGTACATGTCTATCTTCCTTATGGGATCAGGGCTTTAAGGCAAGGCCCTGGAACTGGTTATATTTACATGCTCAGCATTTAGCACAGTCCATCACATACAGAAGGAATCCAGTCGTGGTTGGTAAATGTAGCTGTTTGAAAAATATAGTCAGTGTTCAAGTAGAAGTTGTTCAGTATATATTTACTCAATATATTTAGAACTGTCTTGTTTACACGGAGTATGTTGGCACCAAGGTAATCATACGGAGCGTTCCATTTAATGAAAAGTAAAGACAATATCGACGTACAGAAGCAGTAATTAACGAAAAACACTAACTTGCATTAACTTCCTCACACCATTTTTATTAGGGCCACTCTCACTTAAAACTCCAGTAGCAGGGCTGGCAATTGGCATGGTGGTTGGGGCACTGGACTCCCACATGGCCAACCGTGGTTTGAGTCCCGAACCTGGCGACTTGATTTCTCACTTTCCTTCTCTCTCACTCTCTCTGGACAATTTAATTAATGAATGAAAATAAATAAAAATTTAAAATTCCAATAGCTCCTTTTTTTGACAACACATGCTATTTAGTGTCAGGGGTGGGGGAGATGCCCTGCCAACAGGCTCTTTGAGCCATGATCCACCCTGGCTTCAGCCAGCCCCAGATCATGGGCATGTGTGTGTCTGGTATGTTCTGGGAGGTCCCCAGACACTAACTAGAAATCTTCCCGTGTGGGTCAGGTATGCAGAGGGTTGTTACCACTGAGCTACCATCCAGTCTCCAACATTTGACCTTCTCTGGATTCCTTCACCTAGCATAAGACTTTTAATCCATGTTGTAGCATGTATCAGTACATCTTTTTTTGGGGGGGTATTTTTATTTTTAAAAAAATGTATTTATTTTACATTTATTCATTGTATATCATTGCAGAATACAAAATGCATTTTCCTATCCAGAATACACTGTATATTGACCCAATCAAAGATATTACCATACATGTTATCTTCAACAAATAATTTTCCATTTCTTGTTTCTTATATATTTTACTTCTTTTGTTTTCCCCTTCATTGCCTCCCTCTCGCCCTCTCATTTTCCACCTTCCTCCCACACTGTCTCTGGTATCTACAGTTGCTTTCCACGTTTTGTTTTGTTTTTCACTTTTTATTGATTCACAAAAGATCTAAATTAAATGAGATATTTTCAATAGTAAGCACAGTTGATATAAACATATCTATGAACACACCTGACTTTAGGCATAAAACTCAGTGAGTAGAAGGAACATAGTCTAATGTAGCCCCTAGCCGAGCCTATATAGCTTACTGTGGTCATTAGGTATGTTTTTATGTCTTTTTAAAGAATTATTTTATTTAACTTTATTAATTTATTTTATTTTTTACTTTGATCAAAGAGGGACAGAGAGAAAGAGAGAAAGAGAATGTGAGAAAGCAAGCCTCCAGGTCAGGACTCAAACCACAATCGGCCATGTGGGAATCCAGTGCCCTTAACCACCACGCCACCTGGTGGCCCCTGCATTTATTTTTTTTTTTTTTTTAATTTCAAGAAAAGCAGTTTTAGCTTTAATAAATCAAAATTAAAAAATGTTAAGTAAAATTTTCTCTCTTTTCCTGGAGAGATTTTTGCTATAGGGCACACGCCAGAAAGACAGAGAGAGACAGAGAGATAGAAGCGAAAAAAATCACCCCCCCGGGCGGATGGTCACTCTGCAATCCCTTCTCCATTCTCCTCTCACGATCTTGGGCACGCACGCACACGCGCCTGGCGAGAGTTTAAGCCACCGGTTGGCTACATGGGAGTCCAGCGACATAGCCATTACGCTAACTGCTGGTCCCAGTAAAATTTTCTTAAGACTTAAAGCCAAGGAAAAGGTTAGGATTCTGTTAAAACAGTATATAGATACCAAAAACTCAAAAAAAATTGGTTAGATGCCATGAAGGAGGTGGCAGTGCCTTTAACTATGTGTGTTGTCAGGCCTGAGGGCCTCTTTCATTGTCAAAGGGAGTGCTACCCTTCTCTCCTTTGATATAATACATATCTGTACATCATTGTTTTTTATGGCTTAATAATATTCCACTGGATGCAGCCACCACAGTTTATTTTCCCTTTTTTCGCTACTGCGAATAGTGCTGCTATGAACATGCGTGTGTATGTATTTATTTGAGTACCTATTTTCATTTATTTTGGGTTTATACCTAGAAGCGGAATTGCTAGGTCATATGGTAATTCTGATGAGCTTTCTGAGGACTGGCAAACTATTGGGTCCTCAGAAAAGTCCATGAAACTGCAGTTGGCCATATGGGAGTCGAATGACTTAATCACCATGCCACCTGCTGGCCCCGTAAACTAAATTTCATCGGGCAGGCCATGATTTGGTGAGGGAAGGTATGTGAGGCAGAGCAAGAGGCAGGTAAAGCCAAGCACATTTTGACATAGAAAACACATCGTGACTTTTCTACCAACTCAATAATTTCTACTGAAGCTGAAGCAATTTATATTCCCACCAGTATAATGCCTTTTTACCATCTCTCATCAAACTGTTTTCCTTCTGTACCTTAAAACTCTGTTTAAAAATTATTTCATTTCACCCTGATCTAATTAGATCTCCGGTCCATAAGTGTGTCGTGAGGCAAGTTAATGATGTGGTTCACTAACCTGACCTGCAAGTATCTGGTGACTTGGCTGAAAGGCCCGGACTCAGTACTGGAACTCTTTACTGTCCCTGTTCCCTTTACAGCTGGTATCACTTTAGGCCTTCTTTGTTCTGTTTCTGAAACATAGCCCTCAACTTAAAAACTTTTTTTTTTTTTTTTGCCACTGCATGTATGGTGTATGAAATTCCATGCATAACATACTTCTTTGGGCCTGTCCAAATTTTGACAATTCCTCCCCCCTGCCCTCCAAGTTTCCCAAGAAATAAAGTAAATTACACCACTGATGCTTTGTGATATGTTGTTCATGAAAGCATTTTACAAGCTTGGAAGTGACTACTAAGTGTTCATTAGCAATGCAGCAAAGTTAGATTGGGGATGGAGAAAACATTCAAGTCCTGGTTAACTAGTATAATTTTGATTGTTTCCATTCAAAGAAGCTTATCAAAAACAAACAAAAACAAACAAACAAAAAAAAAATGCAGGGCCTGCCAGTGGGTGGTAAGGTGGCAGGATTCCATGTGGTCTACTGTACAGTTCAAGTCCTGGACCCAGCAGCTTGAAAAACGCACTGGGGCGTGTGCATGCATGTCCAAAATCCCGAGACGAGAGTGGAGGAGAAGGGATTGTGGTGTCACATTCTAGGGGTTGCTTTCTCACTTTCCCTTTCTTTTTCTCCGTATCTTTCTCTTTTTGTCTCTCTTCAGCAAGCATGCACACCATGTAGAAAATTTTTTTAAAAAGGCAAATGCATGGTGACTTACATTTAGAAAACAAACCGTTCACACATTTCCCTTTTTCTTTTTTGGAGAGGTTTTCGCTATAGGGCGCGTGCGCTTGCCAGACAGAGAGAGACATAGAGACAGAAACCGAGTAATCACTCCCCGGGGGGAATGGTCACGCTGCAGTCCCTTCTCCACCATTCTCCTCTCGAGATCTTGGGCACTCACACACATGCGCCCGGCGTGAGTTTTAAGCCACCGGGTCCGGGACGCGAACCGTGGTCAACTATGTGGGAGTCCAGCGACATAGCCATTACGCTAACTACTGGTTCCCCACACATTTCCCTTTAAGTAGCATTTGTAACAGATTGTGTATTGATTGCCTCATCATCGAGGTCATTGTCATCGTAGTACTCTAATCTTAACCCTGGAGCCCCGGGCGCCTGATAAGTGTATGCTCTTAATTAATGGTGACTACAGACATGACTCCAGAATTACAGGTGTGAGGATCACCATGCTTAAAATCAACACCTGTAGTTCCTGCCGGTGTGGGTGACTGCAAACTATTTGTTCAGAAGGAGAGTATAAGGATAGGATTCTTCATTCACACTGGCCCTTCCCATCGCATGACGATCCTTCAGGGCATTCTATCTCATATTAGATAATAAAAACCAGACTAGGACAGCCTTCCCATGGATCATCCAGATCCCACAGTAAGCTCAAGGTACTTTCCCCATTACTAACTTGTGCAGACAAATTTGCCTTGCTGAATTTGTTTTCCCTTTGTTTCTCTACTCCATTATCTCTGTTCCCATGTTGGAGAACTGGAATTAGGAAGTGACTGGGGCCAAATGGAAATCAAACGAGCTCCAGCAGAAACTTAGGGCAGGGGTCTCAACTCTAGCCCTATTGGCAGTCTGAGCCAGGTGGTTGTCGTGAGGGGAGTCGGGGGTCGTCCTGTGCATTGTAGAACATTCAGCCCATTCCCAGCTCCAACCTGCCATGTGCCACTGATACGCTCTGTCCCTAGCACTGTCTCTCCCTCGCTGGACACCTTTTCCCAAATGCCACCTGTGACGCTGGGACAGCAGGTTGGCAGTAAAGAATTGGTTCCCAGAGACACTTGGAGGGAGAACTAGTAGGACCTAGCAGTTCACTGTCCATAGAATACAAAAGAGTAGAGGAAATAAAAGGTGCTATTGGAGCCAGTAGGTAGTGTCATGGTTAAGGCACTGGATTCACACGTGGTTCTAGTTCTGGACCAGAGGCTTGAAGATCACACTGGGGGAGTGTGCATGTGTGCCTGAAATCCCAAGAGGAGACTGGAGAAGAAGGGATTGTGGCATGGCCAATCTCCCTGGGGAGGGTAATTTCTCACTTTCCCCCTCTCTCTCTCTCCTGGGAGCACACATGCCCTATGGCAAAAAGAAAAAAAAAAAACTATCAAGAGTTTATGGATGTGACACATTCTTACTTCTTTCTCCAGGTAATTTGCAGAACTGGGGACTGCAAAAAGTAGTCAGTTTCCATAGTGGAGAGAGCTCCATTGGAACTTTTCTGTGCTGATTACGTTTTTTTTTTTTTTTTTTTTTTGCCGGAGGGTGCAAGTGCTCACTGGAGAAAGATGGGGAGTGGTAGGGTAGAGATGTGAGAAAGCAACCCCCATGGGTAATGGCCACACCACAATCCCCACTCCTCCATCTCTTCTTCCTGTCAGGATTGTGGACGCACACACACGCATCCAGTGTGTTTCTCAAGCCTTCAGGTCCAAGGCTCAAACTGTATGGTCAGCCATGTGGGATCCAGCTGCCTTAACCACCAGACCATGGGCTGGCCTTCCGATTGTTATTATTATTTTTTTTTTTTAAGAAATTTTTGCCCTAGGGTGTGTGTACTAGCGGGAGAGAGAGAGACAGACATAATGAGAGAGAAAGTGAGAAATCACCCCCGTGGAGGATGGCCACACTGCTATCTCTTTTCTTCCATTCTCCTCCCGGGATCCTAGGCATGCACGTACACATGCTCTGTGTAATTTTCAAGCTACCTATTCCAGGACTCGAACTGTGATTGGACATGTGGGAGTCCAGTGGTATAACTGCTACGCCATCTGCTGGTCCCATGCCAATTATTGTTATAGAAACTATCTAAAATATTCAGGGTTTTTGGGGGGAGTAATTTTTGCTATAGGGTGCATGCACTATAGCATGGATGATCGTGGATGACCTTGCCATGATCCCTTCTCCTCCATTCTCCTCTCAGGATTTTGGGCATGCACGCACAGGTGCCTGGTGTGAGTTTTAAGCCATCAATCCAGGACTTGAGCCGTGGTAGACCACGTAAGAATCCAGCGATGTCATCTGCTGGTCCCTCTAAAGTATTAAGTTTAAATGCTGCAGAAATATTACTCAGAGTGTAAAAAAGATGGATGCGACAGAGTTAGGAACTTTTGCTAAATTGCTGTGAGAAGACGTCCTATTAGCAGCTCAGGTACTTGAGATATGACCCTCCCTTCTAATCTCTGGGTTCGCAGCCATTGTCAGATCAGAACCGGGATGTATCTGCTGCACCCTGGAACCAAAAATTGCTTGCCTGAACCTCCCCATTCAGAGAGTATGAGCCAGTGCCTGGCAAGTCAGAGGCAGGGCCACCCCCAAGTCAGGGTCGGGGCCGCCAGTGTCTATTCCCAATGGCCTAGTAAGGCAGCTTGGTCTTTTGTGCGACCCAGTGGGCCTAGTGACTGCCCGTGTTTTAAAGACAGACAGACCGGTGTTAGCGTCCACAAATCACGGACCAGGAAAAGACATGAGAGAAAAGGAACTGGTCGGTGGCTGGAGTTTGCCCAAGTCTCGAGGTTCAGCTGTGAGCAGGCCATGCTGAAGTTTGGCCGTGGCGGGGGTAGGACTCAGTCATTGCTGCTGTCCCATTTCCGAAGTGCCCAGAACAGCCCAGAGGAGATCCCCATTCCTGGCCCTGTGAAGCACACAGACGTGAGGCGCTGAGTGTTCCGCACCTTCTTGCCCTAGCTGCAGTGATTTTCCTCTGCTCTTCCTGGAGGTTTTCCTTTCCCTGCTCTATACCCCTCCACACCGGGACCGGGTGGTGGCACTGGGTGGTGGGCCCGGCCCAGAGCCTGTGCTGAGCAGGGGCTGCTAGGATGGAAGGAGTGTGGTTTCTGTTCTTAGGGAGAGCAGAGGCAGAATACCGAGTACACCGGGGAGAGCAAAGGGCCTTCCTCCTTCTGCTGCTGGCTAGATGGGAGTTTGAGGGAGATAAGGTCCGAGTGATTTCCCAGAGATTCTCAGCAGTCTCAAAAGAGTGAAATTTGGGTCAACAGGACGAGGAAGGACGATTCAGACAGAGAGACTCACGTATGTGAAGGAAGGAGAGGCGAGTTCAGGGGTCCAGATCAGAGGTGAGTGGCCTCCAGAGAGGAGGCAGGGAGACCTCTCTGGAGCTCTTTTAGGGGTCCAGCTAGGATCTGATACACGGGAAACCCCACATGCCTTGCCCACATCATGACACATATCCTCAGCGATGCCCCCAGGACAGACCAGGTTCCCACAGCTCTGAGGGTCGTTAATGACAAGGCAGAGCACCCAGACTTCACTTACAAAGGCTCCACACATCCTTTGCAAGGTAATTGGCTATTCTTACTTTTATT